AGTTTTGGGCAGACTAAAGATAGAAGGCGGATATTGGCAGCTCAAGTGGTTCAATTTCATCTTCTATACCAGTATAAAAGAAAATTTAATAAAATAAAAAAAAAATATCCAGGTTCACATGGTAAACTCAGTGAAGATCGTCGCATTGGGGAAAATGAAAGTTATCCAACATAAAACATCAGTTCCAGAACACGATTCGACTAACTGATAGCTGTAAATATTTGTAAACAACTATTTATTAGTAACATTTCACAAAAATCCTATGCCAATGGCGAATTGTTGTGATGCATACATAGCTACGGTAATTGGCGGCTTTCAACTATTCAGAGTACTCACAAGTGCCATGGCATCTATTGTGAATTGTGTGTACATTGTGAATTGTTTTATGTTTGATTATTTCTTTTTTCCATTTTTCGGCAAAACATGCACAAACTATGTCGCATTGTTGTCCCCCAGAGTTTTGCTTATATATGTGAAATGTCATTAAACATTTGTCACAATTGATGCCCGGCTAATTAACGACAATCAACACGAATGGGACGCGAAAGTGTTTCAGTAGACAACATGCAGCAACAGAGAGCAATAATATACAAATATATGCAAGCCTGCCGCTGCATTGCCCCGATAAGTATGCTATAGAAACTGCAGCAACTCATTCACAGCTGCCGCATCGAGTGCCAAACGATTTGAAGGCGTGGCACGGAGGCAGCGGAGTGGGTCACCAAGTGTCGAGGCGCAGTTTTCACTCAACCGTCGAGTGCTTGGGTCGATTGAAAGCGAATCGCAGCCCCAAAGCCGCAGCACCAACATCATTTATTTAAGAATACAAGAGTCTTAGCTGGGTAGGCGGCAGGGGGTTGGGCTTGGGGCGTGATCTATGTCAGCTGGTGTAAGCATTCGCAAGAGCCGAGCCCCATGTTTAATATGCACGCCCCGTTCTCTGGTCAATCGGAGCAGAACCTGCCGAGTGGTTAAGTCCTGGAGCAGGCGCTCGTTAGGACGATTGACATAGCCAACGGGAGAGCGAGTGAAAATGCTGCCACAACAGAAAGAGACCAAAACATTTGCTTTGGCCAAAATGTGGAACGAGCAGCAGCAGCAGCTTAAGCTAAGGTGAAAATTATGATCAAGCGGAAAGCCTGTCCCAGAGATATCCTTTCAA